CAGGCACGTCGAGAGGGGGTGGAGAAGAGGTGATTTACCCCGGACCTGGGTTTTTTGTAGGAGATCGGTTTTCTTTGTGTTTTTAAACTTATTAAACCTTTCTCTTTTATTTTATTCAAATGGAATTTTAAAAAATAATTAGAAAATAACTTTTTTCAAGCCTGCCATATTATTGTTTAAAAAAATAATATTTGTTACGGATAATTCTACTAATGGTTGTAATTAAAATACTAACTGAATAATGATAATTCTATTTTTAAAATAAGAACACAAAAATACCACTTGAGATTAAAAAAATGTAAACAATGCAAACTGAACATAAAAATACAATAAAAAAAATAAAATAAATGAACTTCAATTACGTAATACAGAATTAACTAATATTTTGTCATTGCTCCATTAGCGTCTAAAGCTGCCTGAAGTCTTGCAGGCATGGACAAAATCAGATTTCTTGCAAGGTCAACTTCTTGCGACAAGTTCTCCCAAGCGTCTTCAATTATCCCTTCCAATTCTTGGGCATTATTTGGATGGTTATTTAATTTTCTTATATGTTTCACCATTAGTCCCCATACATTTTCAATTGGATTTAAATCCGGACTTTTAGATGGCCACGGTAACAACTCTATGTTTTTATTAAGAAACCATTGCCTGACACGATGGGCCGTATGTATGGAGCAGTTGTCTTGTTGGAAAATAAAATTATTTTCCGGAAACACCTCTATTACTGACGGCAACATAATATTGTCTAATATTTCAATATATTTTATGGAATTGAGATTACCATCACTGTTCCAACACACACCTAACCCATTTAGGCTCATCCAAGCCCAGATATTGACTGAAAACCTTCCTGATATTTGTGGATTGAAAGTATATTTTTCGTCGTATCTAGTGGAAGGAGGCCTATATACGCGAACATGTCCATTGTTACAGGATTTAAAAACCTTTTCGTCAGAAAAGACAACTTGTCCCCAGAAGTTTTCATCATTGATTATATAGTTGAGTGCAAAAATAATCCTACCCTGCTTCTTTTCTTCTGAAAGTTTGTATTTTTTAGCCGCTGAACAACTCTTCAAGTCGCTTTGTAGTTTTATTCTTCTGCAAGCAGTAGATACCGAAGCAGGGAAATTTGTCTCTGAAATTGCATTTACTGCAGTCTGAAAAGGGTTTTCTATTAGGTAATTTATAAGATTTTCATCTTCTTGATTATTGCTCTTTCTGGGCCTACCGGAAACAACTTTACGGGATACCGTTTGGTTGGTTTCCCATTGTTTTTTAACACTCATTCTCATGGTTTTACTCGCATTGTATTCAGCAGCAAGTCTTCTTATGGACCAACCATCTTCAATTTTAGAAACAATTCGAAATTTTTGAATATCTGTTAGATGTCGAACCATTTTTAATAATGACATAACTGATTAACGTCAAATTGACATTTGTAAGATTATTAATATCAATCAAAGAACGAATGATTTACATAGCTAAAAGAAAGTGTACCAGTTTTTATTGAAATCAAATGTACCCACTTTATAACAAATAAGTAAATTTGAGATATCTCTAGAATACACACGCCACTGTTGTTTACGCAAATCGCAACGTGGTTCTTAAGTGCCCAATTCCCCCTCCCGCAAACGAGTCCAGTGTATGCAAGTGCATCCGTGTTTCCGAAATATCATGCGAGATGGCAGCTATTATCGGAATATAGATATGCAGTTTTTAGTTTTCTAATTTAATTTATTTTCAACTAATCCAAGAGTTGGGTCACATGAATATAAACGTTACAAACAGTGACTAATGTCGGAATGTTAAAAAATTTGGATACAAAATATTTAAAATGTATGCGAAAATTTTTTGACGACTGAAAAAAAATTACATTCCGACATTTTATACGTATTTTTGAAAAATCTTGTAAAAATCGCACTCAAATCGGATAAGTTTTAAACGAGATATTCGAGAATTATGATTTAATAGGGTATATAAGACTCTTAAGATTGATGTTCTGGATTATTGGACAAAGGAGTCGTTAAGGCAAGCGCAGTTAAACGATAAGGAAACTGGTCCTATTGTGAAATGGAAAGAAAGAGGAACCCGGCCCGACTGGAAGGACATTTCAAATAAATCGGTGTGGCTGAAGGCTTTATAGGCACAATGGGACTCCCTTATAGTAGAGGATGGACTGCTGAAGAGAGCGTGGGAAAGTCCAGATGGGAGGAAAGTTACTTTGAAATTGTCAGTCCCCAGGTGTCACGTAGCAAATGTACTTCAGCAAGTGCATAATGGAACGTCTGGCGGACATTTTAGCATCAACAAAACCCTGACTAAAGTAAGAGAACGTTTCTACTGGGTAAACAGTCGTCAAGATGTGGAGGCTTGGTGCCGCCAATGTGAAGTTTGCGCGGCAAGAATGGGGCCGCATATAAGAAATAAGCAATATAACGCCAGGGCTCCTTTTGAGCGAATTGCAATAACAAGTGACCGTATGAAAGTTCGTTATGATCTTCAGGCTAATTCAGGAGGGTACCAGGTAGGAGTATTGGTTTGGTTATATAACCCACAACGAAAGAAAGGCAGGTCCCCGAAGCTTCACCCGCCCTGGGAAGGTTCTTACACTGTCGTCACCAGACTAAACGATGTTGTATATAGAATTCAGCAAAGTCCCAAATCCAAGATGAAGGTGGTGCATATAGAGAGAGTAGCCAAGTATGCACGGAACAATGAATTGCCTGATCGGGACGTTCAGGATTAAGGAGGGGCAGTGTTATGCCACTGGATCGTGTTGACTGGTTAGATGAGACTGGAATTGTATGCGCACGCCTCAATGTACCCCTTCCCTTTCTACACTCAGTTTATTTATTGTAGATATGATGCCTCGATCATTAAAATGCTTACTGCCAAGTATGCACATGCCATTGATATGTTATTGAAGTCCACACCCTCACATACTGTATTGGAGCAGAATTAAGGATCGTGAGGCGTAGCTAATCCTAAAATGGTTTCTGCTTATTATTTAATTAAATAACAATATATTAGGTACTTATCATAGCACCTACAGAGAAATAATATTATTGGCTATCAGACACGCACCGAGAGTAGAGCGAATGACGTACAGTATTTGTTTATCCAATCTGTAATAAACCGAGTGTAGAAAGGGAAGGAATGCGATGAGGCGTGCCCTCGTTACTTTGCAAACACAACATACAAAAAGGCAACAGCGATATCCAAGTCTCTTTCTTTTTTGCTATTTTTATCCTTTATGCACACACCCAAAGCAGGCTTTCTAATTTTTTTTTCCAATACTGTATACCTGAGAATGTTATGAAATCTCTAGATTTTAATTTGCCCTTTCTAGTTTGGTGTGTAGATGATACTTTAACAATTATTTCGAATAGGGTTGCCAACTTTACAATGCTCAAATAGAGAATATCAGGAGAGCAGGGGGTAAGAAAAATAAAGAATTAGAGTTTTCTTAACCAAATTCAGTCGCTATGATTAAAAAAAAACTAAGAAAAACACTTTTTTTTAAATTAATGCAGTTTGGATAATACTACGATTTTAATGATGTTTTCCTTAAATTAAAGATAAATGCTTCTAAGAAAGATCATTTATTTAATAATGTGAAGAAACGATTTGCCAAAGATTAAAAAAAAATTTAAAAGCCATTATGGTTGTCTTATTATTTATAAATATGTGTAACATTTATGTTATATAAAAAAATTAAAATATTAAAGGATATGTAGGTATGAAATTTTCTTTCATCCACCCTATGTATTTCATACGACACAAACACGTAGAAATATCAGCTTGATGGCATATTGGTTCTGGCAGGTAAAAACTGTCTTAGTGAAACTCTCCATAATATGAAGAGACTAGGAGACAAGCATTTGGGGACATCAAAAGAATACATAAGCTGAAGTCTATGGATAGATTAATAAGTAATATATAAAGGTAATTATATTTTCTTATTATTAAATTTTACTATTTGTCCCCTAAATTCGATTTAATACCATATTTACATATATTCCATTTGTAAGAAGTGTTGTGACAAAAAAATTAAACCATTTTTGACAAAAATAAAAATTGCAAGCAATGTATGATAGCACGAGACTTAATTTGGATTTAAATTGCCTAGTTTAGCTTTTGTTGTATGTATTAAAATAACCAAATCCTATAAAATGTCGCAATTAAATGAGAAAGAAAATATACAAATTTTAATTATAATAGAATGGTGACATAAAAAAGTCACGAACAGGAAGAGAGATTTGTACTTTGTTTAACGAACTTTATCCTTACAGAGTTTCTCTTAAAGAGATTGTCTAAGTAGAGTAGTGAAGAAATTTAGATAAACAAAATGATAAAGATGCTCTAAAGGCCAAAATCACTGAGAAATTCTCGATATTTTGTCAACTTTAAACGAAATATCGCTAGTATCAATGCAACAACTTGCTGTGGGCTACAATGTAGACTCCAAATCTATTGTAGAAAAAAAATGTATAAGGTACATTTATTTCAGGAAACAAACGAAGATGATTTCGCCAAGAAATTACAATTTTGCGATCTAATGTTGGAACGTTGTAATAATGTTTGTCGTCAAATTCTCAGATAAAGTAACCTTTTACCTTAACGGAAAAGTAAATTAGCATTATTGCCATATTAGTCAAGAAATAATCCACACTGGATCGAACAGGCACACACGTTCTTTATGAACGAAAATTTAACTACACAAATATTTGTGGAACTCTTACGAAGCAACGTGATACCTGCAGGCCTTGCTTTATTTTCTAGTGGGAATAATTTGATTCAAAATGGGGTGTGGTTTCAGCAAGAAGGTACCCACACATACTATAGGGTTCAAGTGGGGCAATATTTAAATCAGTGAGGATCCACAGAATGGTCTGCTAGGTCACCCAATCTAACACTTCTCAATTTATTTTTATGGGAACAACTCAAACGGAAAAGGCCAGAGAATTTTGAGGATTTTAAAGCTCGAAAAATGCCAAGCCGGCTTAGTGACTCAGTGGTTACACGTTTGGCTTATGACTAAGGGGCCCTGGGTTCGAATCCCAGTTAGGACATGGATGTATAGTGGCGTTTTTAAAATACCGTGACGATAGCACAGTTTGTTGGAATGTTGTTGTGTGACAGAACACGGATAGTCACTGTCTATCTCTCCGAGTGTCAGCTGCGACATCTGGCAAATGACGGAGGGAAGGTTGTTATGTGCGTGTATGTTGGTTAAATGGTGGAATAGTAATGTGCTAAACTCAGCCAGGACATTAGCATAAATAAGGTGTAGAAAAAAAGCACCACACAGTCCTGGATAACTGCTTAACGATTCTTCAAGGTTGACCAGCACATTGCCAGGCTAGGAAATGAGCCCATTTTGAGCATTAATTGTAAATTGTGTACACTCAATAATATGAAGTAGAAAAACAAGAAAGCAGTATTTCGTGTACAAAATTTTTTATTTAATCACAATCAGTGCCAATTACTTTCAACACAACCTAACATGTCATTCTCAAGGGCTACTTTAAAACAAATTGTAAGCTTACTACATGTATAAAACTATTAACTTGTTGTAATTAGTTCAGCAATTAAAAGAAATATTTACAACATCAAGTAAATTGACATAGAAAAGCTTATTTACATTTATATGAAAATGTATAAAATTAGAGTGAATGAGATAAAATATGAAATGGTGTACTCAAAGAAGTAAAGAACAATGTTTCAATCAAAACTCGTACAGGAACTCCATCAAATTGTAAATTAGGAAAAATGTTATTGACAAGAAGTTACATTTAATTAAAATTATATTAAAATTTCGAAAGAGTACCAGGATATAGATCAAATTGTTAAATGAGAACAGGAAGCACGTGAAATAATAACAGTAGAAAGAAACAAATGATAGAAAATGCAAAATAGCCCTAAATATAACGCAGGAAAAGGTTACTATATTCCGTATATTTGCATCTGGTTCAGGAATATATAATAGGCAATTGTTGCCCTGTTTTGATTTTTTATAATTAGCTTCAATATTTTTTCACGCAATACTAGTTCATGTATAGATATTTGCTAAATGTTCCATTTATATAGATATTTGCGTCATTTATTACTTATAATTTGTATGTAATGTGTATCTTAATTTATTACTTATAATTTGTGTGTAATATGTATCTTAAAGTGTTCCATGATTAGGCCATAACTTGTAATATGTAGCATATTCTTAGGGAAAATTATATTATATTATGCACTAAATTTACAAATTAATTCAATAGATAAAAAAATTCAAACCAAAAAAAAATCTTTAAAAACTTATATATTGTACGAACTATTTGGGTATTACGTTACATAAAATAATGATAAGGTATAGAAATTAAACCAATTAATACTCTTAAATTAAATTTAAAAACAACAATAATCCCAAAGATGTACAGGGTGATTACTTTTGTGTGATAAGTACGTATTTCTCGAAATTGGTGGAAAGAAACTTAAAACTGTAAACTGTATTATTGTCACATGCCTAAGCTATAATTCTGGTACCATTACCAAAAAAGGACTTGGTTGTTTATCTAAGGGAAGAAATTATTTCTATTTTTACTTAATTATTTTTAAGTAAGCTCTAGAGATGATGAAATTTTATGTCGAAACGTCGGCAACAGTTTAATTTAATAAAACAGTATATAGTCCATCAAGAATTTTTTTCACCCTTATAGACCCCCCTATACGGACGAGACCATACCTTATAAATTTATGATATAGACAACAATTGAATTTAAATCTAAGATATTAGAATCATTGAAAATGTCGCATTGAATTGTGTATTACCAGTTTTATTGATTTAATGGTGCAGAATTTCATATTTTAATCTCATTTATAACATTTTTACGAAATACTCTTAATATACTGACACTATAAAAATGTTTATTCGACGGAATTTTGTTGTATCATTTTGACGTTGTAAGATAAATATAATCTTTTATTTATTTGATATCTAGATCATATATTGATGGAAAAATCAATACCTACAGGTATTCTGTACACAAATCTTACATTTATCTTAAAAAGATCTTCAATTTTCCTTAAAATTCTTCAATCTTCCCAAGCACTTTCTTCAACTTACTTACAGATATGTACCTAAGTCCAGTGGTAGTTTGTCTTACTTAAACGTACCTTGTTTCTGTTAACGGCATTATTTATATTGCGCTGCATAATGGAAGACTTTTGATTAAAGCATTTATTTAGGTCCTGTACCTATAATAATATCGAGAAAATATATTCCGTATTGTTTGTTCTTATAACTATAGTATAGAATGTTTTCAGTATTCCCCGTACTTTGATGTTATTTTTAATATTTAATAATAATTTCAATTTAACTGACTATACTAAAAATATAATACTTTTTCCCAGAATCCAACCCTTAGAAAATGTTCAGGAATATATCAACTATTTGGGCCGAACGGATTATATATTCTTGCCTGTATAAAATAAGAGCTAAGTAAAGACACGTAGCAGCCCAATTAGAGCGTGAACTCACCTCATTAGCACCTGCAATCAGTGTGGAGCTAGGCATGAAAACTTCTACGCCCGCAACTTTATCGCTTAGAACGAATTTCAGCTGTGCATACATTCATTGCTTACCTCATTATTGCAGTTCGTCTAATATAACTTAAATATTATCAGTTAAATTAGCTATAGTAGATACTAATCCAAAGCGAATTTATTGAACTTGTGTATTTGTAATTTAATTTTTTCTTCGGAAATCAAAAATAAATAAATCAAGAGCATGCACTAAAAAAATGTGTTGAGTAAATCTGTACCTCAGAATCAGGGAATATTAAAGCACAATTTGTGAATTTTACACGAAATAGGAAACAAATTTTTATACACCAATTTGTACTTTTTTCTGATTTAAATATTATAGTCTAGTCTATAAGCTTAAAATGGTGTTAATTCTACATACTATTATTAAAATTATGTGGTTTAGCTCATTCGATCCGGAATGATGTCTAGATCATTGTGCCAAATAATTAAATTAGCCCATAAAAAATTCCAAAAGTTATAAACAATTAAACACCTTCAAAAAATAGTGTTTGGTTTGTAGCTTATTGTTCGTAAATTATAAATATTTTCGAAATTTGAAAAAAAAGATCCTTAAAGAGGAGGAAATTTAGTAAAAAAAAGTTCCAACTCCCGGAACTGTACCTCCATTATTTATAATTTTAATTTAACGCTGAAAATAGCCCTCCGCGCGCCATTGTTAGGGGGTTGCGCGCAAGGCCTCGAAAGTGAGTACGTCACTTAAAAAATTTTTTTTTAAGTACTTAAAGTTAATTGAAAAATCTAAAAAAATTATAGTATAATCTAAACACTTTAAAGAATTGATTCCCGTTGGAATTTTTCATAAAAACAAATTTTTCAATATGCTAGACGATTGTTAATTAACAAAATTTTTTGAAACTTCCTTCATCGTTCTAAACTAAAAAAAATGTTTAAATAATTGCCGTAAAATTATTTCGCTTTGTGGAGCTCTTCTTATATACATACAAAACAAGATTGCGTCATCAAAGTTTTAAAAATGTTAATACTTTGTTTATAATAATTTTTTTTAAGTTAACAAAAAAAGAAAAAACACAATAATGTTGTAAAGAAAATTTTTTCTTTATTTATTATTATATTTTCGTTTTTATGTCAATAAAAGACATTTATTAATTGAAAAAAATAATTTTTTTCTCCATTTGTTTATAAAAATTTTATAAACAAATGGACTATTTTTATATTTTTAAAAATTTTTTTTTTCTAATTTTATAGAGAATTGTCAATTATGATTTTTGAAAAAAAAATTTTTTTCTTAATAATTATTTTTAATTGTTTATAATCGTTTTTTCTATATATTTGTTGTTTAAATTATTAGTTAAGAAATTTTTTTTTCTAAAAATCATAATTGACTTTTCTCTACAAAATAATAAAAAAAAAATTTTTTTCCATTAACAATTGCATTGTTTATTAACTTTACAATTTGTTATAAACAAATTCTCAACTTTGTTTTATTTTTTTTTCTGAAAGTAATAATAATTACAAAAACGACCTCGTGCATTAAAATACCGAAAAAAAATTTCATTCTATTTTTTATGTAATTTTGAAAATATACGTGCTACAAAAAATTGCAGCAGCTGATCCATTTGTTGACTTTAAAGCTAATATAACTTTTAAACTATTAAAGATACGACAATTAACATTCAGGTCATTTTTGTAGACAATGAAATTATCTTTCAGATAATGTCAGTCATATATTTTTTACCTATTATTAATTTGTTGTTTTACGCATTTGTTTATAAAAATTGAAGATTCTTTGGGGTTTTTCGAACTTCTGCGGCTTCTAGCTCTGTAAATAATGCGAATTCGGTTATTGAACTTCAAGGCATTTTAATGCACGAGGTCGTTTTTGTAATTATTATTACTTTCAGAAAAAAAATAAAACAAAGTTGAGAATTTGTTTATAACAAATTGTAAAGTTAATAAACAATGTAATTGTTAATGAAAAAAAAAATTTTTTTTGTTGTTTTGTAGAGAAAAGTCAATTATGATTTTTAGAAAAAAAAAATTTCTTAACTAATAATTTAAACATTAAATATATAGAAAAAAACGATTATAAACAATTAAAAATAATTATTAAGAAAAAATTTTTTTTTTCAAAAATCATAATTGACAATTCTCTATAAAATTAGAAAAAAAAATTTTTAAAAATATAAAAATAGTCCATTTGTTTATAAAATTTTTATAAACAAATGGAGAAAAAAATTATTTTTTTCAATTAATAAATGTCTTTTTATTGACATAAAAACGAAAATATAATAATAAATAAAGAAAAAAAATTTTCTTTACAACATTATTGTGTTTTTTCTTTTTTTGTTAACTTAAAAAAATTATTATAAACAAAGTATTAACATTTTTAAAACTTTGATGACGCAATCTTGTTTTGTATGTATATAAGAAGAGCTCCACGAAGCGAAATAATTTTACGGCAATTATTTAAACATTTTTTTTAGTTTAGAACGATGAAGGAAGTTTCAAAAAA